GTTATTCTCATTATTCTTATTATGAAGTGATTGGTTATTTTCTTCGGCCATATTTTCTGAAAATAATAAGGATACCTTATAAAGTCTATCACTTAATGTATGTGACCATACTCTCATGCATGTGTTGAAATAGAATAAAAGGAAGAATAAAAAAGAAGAAGAAGAAATAAGAAAAAAAAACAAAATTATATACAAAAAAAGTGAAAAAAATAAATAAATACTATAATGTGTACAAGAACTTACCTCCTCGGCAATGACGTCAAAAAATTGACATGACCAAAAGATTAACGTCTTCTTTCAAATGCAAAAGTATTGAAATAATAAATAACTTGGCAATACCAGGGTCAAACTATAGAGAGGTTAAATGTGTAAATTATAGATAATAATAATACAACAACAACAACAACAACAATAACAAGAATAACAACAATAGTAGTATAGTAGTAAAAGAAGAAGAAGAAGAAATTGATGAGAACTTGAGATGAAAGATTAACATAAATATTAAATAATGATAACAACAAATATCAAGATTAGAAGATTCATTAATGGTATGTCAAACAAGTATAACATTTTTACCTTGATATAATAAACTTAACTAAACATAATGAAAGAAAGAAAAATAAATAAATAAAATAAGAACAGAAATAAGATAAAAGTTAACTAAGTAAAGGAAAAGAAATGAAAGACATGAACACGATATTAATGAAAGCAAAACTTAAGCATTATAAAAATACAAAGAGAAAAAGCAAGAGCATGATCTTAATTTGGAGACCAAGATGCCTAAATACTTGGCAAATGCCTCCTTTTATAGGCCAAAATTAGAAACTATTGATTTGATGACTAATTGATGAGTGGGTGGCTAACTCTTGACTTGTAACAATAATTATCTTCTTTTATTTGCCCAAAATATTATTGATAACATCAAAATTGAAACCACTTGAAAATATAAAAGTTGTAGGAAATTTCTCAACTTTCTAGGAAAAAACAATAAAGGTTATTTAGACTTCTAGAACTCCAGATATGAGCAAAACACTGAACAGTGTTTGGGCTGTAGGACAGATTTGGACTTTTTTTATATTGCTATAATTTGGACTTGAAAATGATATTTTTAAAACCAGACCTCAAATGAAAATTGTAGGCCTATCTCTTATCTTTCCATCCATATAAAATAGACCTAAATCTGAGATCTACAACTCTAGATATGATCCAATTACCGAATAATGTTTAGGTTTGAACTGCACAAGCATCTCTTTCATAAGTTTGGTCATCTCTTTGTCCTTTCAATTTCAAATCTTAAACTCATCAATCAATTCTTTCATTTATGTGATAGGCCTGCATTTAAAATGAACGTTTACCACAAATTAAACGTATCTTATATTATTAGATATATTATGATTAATATATTTTATAACTAAGAAAAATGTTTTAAGAGAAATGCTGTTGTTGAAAATAGAGGATAGGGTTTTGCCTGAAATATGCAGTTTAGAATTATTAGAGGTAGAAAGTTTCTTAGAGGTAGTTTATAAAAATCTTTTTGGAAAAACTCATTCTTTGATACAATTTAAATCTACACCTATATCAAATAGTGCAATAGTATCTAATTTAAAATCATCTAAGAAGACTAAGGATTTTAAATAAATATTTTTTAAAGATATTTGAGTTAGAAGATGCAAGAAATGATCAAAAATACGTTCAATATTTATGAGTACAAGATGTAATACATAAGACTTAACCGTTTGGTCTTCTATTTCAGAATCAGTGTTAGATTGGTTTTTAATTTTGGATAGAAGGTGTTGTAGGATTGCTGAGTCTTTTTGTTAAGGTTGTTTGAGGGTTTGTAACTCAGATTTGAGGGTTTTGATTTCATATTATAATTGTGGGATAGTAGTTGTGACTTTGGATTTTTTTTATTGAGAAAGTTTGTAAGATCATAGGTGTTGACACTAGTTGTAAGTAGGACTGAATGGTTTGGAAGGTGAGGTTTGGATGTCTCTGGTTTGCTGAAATTGATAAGCAACTTGTCCAGGTAAGTTTTTTATAGCGACGGGTTAGCAAGTCTTTTAATTGCCTCAAGAATAAATTCTTGATCTTGGATTAAGACACTAATTTGTTTAGAATTTGAGAGGTGTTTAAACTAGAAAGGGAAGTTGTTAGTTCATCAATTTGGAATTCTTCTTCAGAAATGTTAGAAGAACTGGAGTTTGTATCAGAGGCTTCAATGTAAAGGTTTGTATCTAGTTGATGATGTCTTTGTCTATTTAGAGTTCATATAGTTTGGTATTAATTTTGCAAAAGCGGGACATATATCCTTTCTGACCACACTTGTAACAAGCAATGTTTTTAAGATTAAAAGTTTTTTGGGTTTAGAAGGGGACGATTTGGTGGTTATATTAAACCTTTTGTAAGTTTGTAGTAAGTTTATTCATGTTTAGGGTAAATTTATTTTCAGTATTTGTGGGGTGATCTTTTATAGGGAGGCGTGTGTTGGGTATAAATGTGTTTTTGGTTTTGAGTAGTGTCCATTGCAAAAGGGTTTTGTGGTGGAGAGGTCAAACTGGTGGAAAAAACTACCAAGTTTTTGTTTGGTACATTGTAGTTCCCATTTCAAATGTTTTTGAAGTTTGAGATCTTGACAGATTTTAAGTCCTTCCTTCCAAGTGAAACTCACAAGTTCACCATATGTAAGCTAGTCATATGGTATAGTTTTGGTTGTAAAGGTATCTTTGATTTTGTTTTGGACCTTTTCTCCTAAGAGAACCAGTAAGCCTGAAGAAATTTTGCTTTTCAAAAAGGCTGGTTTGAATCCTCTTAAAGCATAACACACGTAAGGAAGGTATTTTTATACCATTAAAAGTTATTAATCTTCTTGCATTTAAGGTTGGAAAGAAGTTCAATATTTTTATCTTTTAGATGGAAGGATCTCCAACAAAATGTAAGGAGATAGTAAGGATAAGGGTGGACACAACATCTTGGATGGTGTTTCCTGAAGGGTCAAGGATATGTGTTTGGTCTTCATAGGTTTGTATAAAGTTTATGATATATAGGTGATCTGTTTTAGTGAGATGGTAATCCCGTCATCCTTTAAGCTGGCTAGAGAAACCTGTAATAAGGAGTTCGACTATAGCTTTGTTTAGGGTTCCTGTTTGGTTTTTGTAGGCATTGATTGCCATGACAATTTGTTGGAGGGTATTTAAGATATTATATTCAGAAATTTCATCTATATTTTATTTATAAAAGGAGAAGGCATTGTATTTTTGTTGGTTTAGAAAATTGGGTTTTGTATGTAAGGAAATATCAAGGGCATTGGTTGTTTTGTGATTTTTTCAAATAAGTTTGTTTATTTCAAAAGATTGTTCTTAAGAAGTATATGTATCAAAGGTTGATATAGGGTTATTTTGAAAAGAATTAACTTGGTATGTGAAGGAAGAAGGGTTGGATTGTTGAGGTGTGTCCGAGACAATCAAGTTCATTTGGTCGAGGTTTTGTAATTGTGTTTTAATGGCTTTAAGAAAATTTGTTTGATTTTCTTGAATTTGTGTTTGGATTGTCTTGGTAACTTTGTATGGTTTAAATGCTAGTTTTTTTAGTTTGAGGTCTACTGGTTTTTTGTTAGTCGTGAAGTTAACCGAGTTCTTTTGTATTTGTTTTTCCAGTTTGGTAAGCTGTTTATCTATGGTATTGAGGTATTTGTGAAATTATTTTGTTGGATGATATGTTTGGTATTTATAAGGGTATCATCTCCGAGTATTTTTTATGGAGCTGCATCAACTGTTTAATCTTTGTGGGTAAGTTATATGTTTCACAAAAGTTGATGGTCAGACTTAACTAAAGGTCCACTAGTGACATTCAATACATGAATTTTGGAAAAGGTTGTAATAGGACATGCATATTTGATGGATGCAAATGGATATGTAATATATTATGCTGGTGCATAAAAAAATTCAAACTAATCAAAGAATAAAATTTATACGTTATAAGACTCAATACAAGTATA